AATATTCCAACTCTTCTCGTTCGAATATTCTACGTTTCCTAACTTTGAGTATTCTAATTTTTCTAAGTTCCAATATTCTAACCATTCTGAATTCGAATATTCTACGTTTCTTAAATTTCAATACTCTAATTTCTCTAAGTTCCAATATCCCAATTCTTCTAAACTTCAATACTCTATCCCTCGATTCGAACATCCTAACTTCTCGAAATCTCAATATCCTAACTTGTCCAAACTTCAATATTCTACTCCTAAAATTTCCATCTCCTACCCCTTCAACGCGTTAATATTCTAAACACCCCGATACCTAAAACTAAGATAAACAATATCTTTTAATATTCCAGTGTCCATAGTTCTATTCTTAAGACACACTGATCGAACAACGATGTCGGGAACGATGCTGCGACGAAATATTCAAAGAAACATCTAATAAGATCGTGAAATATGGTTCACACGTTTGAAAGGGAACCTCTTCCTGCTCGCTTTTTTCCAGCACGGTTTTTTTGTTCCCTTCCGAAGGGAACGCGTACGAAAAAGGAAGGTATCGATGGGTGGACGGAATGCCGGCGTAAATGGAAGCCAGTGGCGCTTTATTATACAAAGCCACCATCTGACAGTATTAGCCACTCTCGCGGAAAAGTATTCGACATTACTGAGGGTATCGTATAACTGGGACCAGAGGAACTAGTTTGTTACGGTAAAAGATTCTTGGCAGCTCATTGCACGCGATAGTGGGACCGCGCGGATCTCTCTCTTTCTCTCTCTCCTCTCTGCGTCTCTCTCTTTCTCTCTTTCATCGCCGGCCACTCGGCAGCCGGTGGATCTCGATACGGGAAATAAGTAAAATTGGAATACGACGATCTCGTGATTTCACTTAATACGGAGTATTAGCCGAGCCGATAACGTCAATCCAGTCGTTCATTTCGCCGAGAACGCCGAGGTTGTTGGCATTTAAACAGACAAACGTAAACGGTCCACCAGGGATTCGAATTTCCCGCCTCTTTTACGAAATTCTCGTTCGATATTGAATCTGAACTGTTCTACGAGTGCTTCGGGATAAATTGAATTTTTCAAAGATGCTATTACGATCTACAGTTATCGTCACAAGTTGATACCTGAAAACTGTGGGTAGCTTACAAAAGATTAGCCTTCAAGCTGGTTAAGAAATCTGCTCAGTCGAATAAAGCTTGTCGATAATAAATGTATTATCCAAAATAGATCTCGAGATTCTTCGTTTAATAATGCGTTGTACCGTAATGTCACCGATGCATTCTTAACTCCGTTAATCTCATTAAAGTTTCATGAGATCTACGAATTCTCATTAAAAAATCCAACCGTCAACGTTAAAATGACGTTGGAAACGGGATAAGATCATCTTTGCTCATCGCTAATTATAAGATAAAGGTTCAGAAACAGGGTGAACTGTTGCTTCTAACGGAACACGCTAAAATTGGTTATCGTTTAGCCACGAAAAGAAGTTTCGCGAGATCGCGGACCGAGTGGGACCGACTTTAATCCACGGAGCGTCGCCCCGTCGCGTCGAAAAGCCGCGATAACACCTAATTGGGTTATCTCGCGTGTTACGTTAGACCGTCGTGTTTCTATCCCTCTGTTCGTTTTTCTTTCCCGTTTCGCGCGGCCCGAGGCGCGAAGAAGCTTCGTGCGTCCGCGTCGTTCAGCGCCGATTGAAACAATTTGAGGAGAACCGGGGCGGATCCAAATGGATGATGAACTATTATTATCTGTTCCATTCGGCCCAATTGACCATGGCGTTTCAAGGCGGAAACGTTTTCCGCGACCGCCTGGGAACGCCGCCGCGCGTTTCGTCTGCGCGCGATTTCAGCTAATTCTCCTCGCGTGACCTTCGAGGAGGCCTCGATTAACCCTCGCGCCGATAATCAACGGTTTTTGCGGTGCACGCTGAACGTTCCTGGTTGATAAGTCGAACACATGTTAATATCTATGGCGAATTTACTGTGATATTAACGCTAGAACTACTGGATCGGTCGAAGTGAGTGATTCCAAATCTTCTGTTTTGTATTTATTCACAGAATAAATGTGTCGAATATCCAAAATTGTTTGGAGGAATTCACAGTTTCACTTATGATGACCAATTGAATTATTAATAATGTAAAAATGTACTCTTTCAATTTTTATGATAACATATTAATCAAGTTAAATATTCGATAGTATTAATGCCAGCGTTTCACTCAACAAATTATAAAATATCAATTTCACATGATAATGTATTCTAAATTATATTTTAAACCTATTTCATCTTGATTAGATCAAATTTATGATTGCTTCTCTGTCAACCCAATAAGAACGATTCCACAATTCCTCCAACCCCCTCGTCTACAGTGTTCCAACTGTTACGGGGAACTCTAATAAAAAATGACTACCAGCTAAATCAATTAATCCTCGTCGAAGCAACGAGAATACGGAGTTTTACGGTTTTTCGATCGGGATTACGAAAGAAATCGTTTGAACGCGAGTCGAAAGTGGGTACCCGGTTATTGACACAAGGGTCAATCCGCACGCATTCCGGTGGTTGCAATTAGCTACGATCCGCGAGATAATCCGGAAGAAAACCCGCTCGATCAGCGATTACCGTGCGCTCGGCGTGTTTCGTACACGACGCGTGCAGTCTTCGGATTAACCCTAAAACCGTCTGACGAACCATAAATTGCACGCCGGAATAATTTATATCCCGAATTATGGTCCTGTAATCCGTGTTAGCTGTGCGGTTGCGTATTATAGGAACTCGCCGAGCTGAGATCTTTTTCTCGATCGTAATCTAGCCTGCCAGGATCCCGAGGACGCCGGTAGCACGGCGCGGCGGCGCGATGGACGCGGATGAAACGGGAGGCTGGAAAATGTTACGAGCTAATCCGTTCTTTTCTTAAAAGCGGCAGTTCGTTCCGAGTTTCTTAGTCTCGCGCGGCTAATACACGCCGGTGTTAATCATTCGGCAATTATTAATCAACCATTACGCCAGTTCATTCCGAGTTCCTCGGGCTGACGGCTAATATACGGAATGCTAATCGTTCGGCAATTATTAATCAACTGTTACGCTAATTGCCGTGAGGTCTGTGGATGGGATGGACCGGATTCTTTCATTGCTTTCGGACGTGTGTTGGGGAATTTAATAATGTTCGCAACGTTCGCCGTTGGATAACGAATATTATATCGACAGTCGATTGAATTATTAATAACTATTATTAATTCTATCGAAATCAGTGTCCGATGAATTTAGAAAGCGGCGAAGCTCTCGACGTTTGAAATGTTTATTTATATTACTCGCCGAAGGATAAAGATTATTTGAAATTTCGTAATCGGTGGATTTCAACGCGAGCGAAAAGTTATGTCCCAATGTTTAAATTGAATTTCTTTGCGGTTCGATAGTAACTATTAAAGACTAATTGACAATGATGGATACCGTGATTATTATAGTGATTGAATTTTAATAAACATTTTTCACGTATGAAAATTGGCTAGTACAACGATTTTTATCGACGGTTAAAATAATTAAGCGGGAAGATCTGCCGGGCAGATTCGTGATCGAATTCTCACGCGGCAAGTGGTGGCTGTTTGACAAGTCCCCAAGCTCCAGACGTGAGAATGCCAGTGATAAAGCTGTTTTCGGCTCGATTCTATTTTTACTTTTCGGAGGAGGGCAGGGGTGTAGTGAAATCGCTCCAACAAGGAACTTTCTGCTCTAGTTTCTTTTTTCATTCGAATGACGTAATGGCGTGCGCCTTGTCCCGGCGTAATGTTTATCACGTGTACACTATTCGCCGCGGTACACGCCATGGAACTGTTCCATGGCTTTCATAATACCGTTCAGTGTACCATTTCAAAAGATCATCGAAAATCGTGGTGTCCGTTTAAAAGTACGCGCATAATTTTATCGTCTCCGATCAGAGAAAAATGTCGAACGATCGTCTTTGGGAAAATGTTAAGTACATTTCTATTAATTCGTTTTGAACGACAGAGCGGGGATTAGAAGATTATCTTAACGAGAAATGTTATTATGGTGCACGTAAAAGATTGTATATGCAGTTTGGAATTATATAGTAACTGTAATACTATTAATACTTTTATATAATGTGTACGCAGACCGAACACTAAACACAAGGAATTTCAGAAACGTGATGTTTCAGGTTTAACATCCGCGGAGATTTCAATGCTGCTGTAACACGAACATTCTACCAACTATATATAGTGTCTCGCGTACGCTACAACCCTCGGAGGATAGTGGCACCATGAAGATCACTATGTATCTCCGAGAATTTTTAGATTCCACTACGTTTCACACTAAGATCGAGGAAACTACAGACATCGTATACCTATAAATAAAAAGAAACACTCAAAAACACTGGTACGTATTTAAGAACAAGCATTTCCAACGAAACGCCCCAAAGAAAACGAAACAATATTACTCCATTAGTTCCAACATCAACCTATCTACACAAACATTCTCCTCATGATATTCTGCACTCAAAACTTCTCACAGCCACTGTTCAAGTTTCACGTTGTACTGAAAGTGCATCTCTCACACCAACAATAGCGCTTAAGATCAAACCGTTTGAATTTACAGTTAAACCTCACTCCCCTATGATTTCATGTTTCATCGATTTCAGTAGAATCGTTGATCTGACCGATAAAATCGACAAATTTACTATCCACCACGACGAGAAGGTTCGAGTGCAAGAGGTTCACTTCACGTTGAAACCCTGCATGACCCACATACGGAGCCTCGATCACCTCGAAACCCTTTGCAACGATTTCCATCCAAATATCTAGTAAGGCAAAGAGGAGAAAACGAAAGGAGAGGCTGGCAGATCGGCAACAAACGCCGGGGAACGTTGTCGGCGCGCGATCTTAGTGATCAAGGCCCTCGAATTACTGTCCCGTTCGGCCGGTTATCTCGATCTAAGGACTCGGATCGATTCGCCGTCAGCGTTTCCACGGTTCGGAATAGCCGATAACTCGATACTCACCCGAGAGGTGGTACCGATTGCAGCGTGTTATCCAGATCCTGGCCGGGGCTGGTGGTGTAGCGTTGTCCCGTGGTCGACGCTCCGTGGAGAACGATCGACAGCAGCCACGCGGCGGACAACAGCAGGGCCGGGTTCGGCATTTTTCGTGAGGATCGCGATCGCGGCTCTCCCCCGTCGTTGTTTATCGATCAGCGCACTGCTACCCCTGTCCCCCACGTGGAATAACGAGCCCGATGTTACGTTAGTTCGTCGCGCGATCGATGACGGCTCGTTTCACGCGCATGATCCACGATCGATCTCGGGACGCGAACTCCTCTCGAGGTCTCGGGAACGGTTCAGCAACGCTGCTCCGCGATCGCCACCACGATCGGATTCTCGATCATGGTTCTTGGTCGGCTGGGTGCTCGGTAATGTGACACTCGCGGAATTCTGCAATTGTTGCGACCGTTTTATAGGGGGGATTTCTTTGTACAGGGTCCGGTTGGCGTCGGAGGTATTAGGTACCGGAAAGTTTGTGCGGTTTTCTTGTTAGCAATGAGCCGAGGTCCAATTTCAATCAGTATTTTACTAGTTTAATGAATGAAATCAGTATTGGTAATATGTTATGTTCGTGCTGTTGAGAGCAAATAAATATTATTTTACAAGAACGTTTTCTGTGTTTGAATTTTCATTTAAGAATCCGCACGTTCTCTGGTATCTAATGCTGGAGGGTGGTTGAGATAAAGGATGATTTTTGCCGATGAAAATACTTTTTATAAGGAAGTAGAATTGGAAGTTATTGTATGATTTTTGTTGTGTTCGATGGAATTGCTTGTGAACTGATGTGACTCAAAATGATTGTGATTTCATCAGTGGTTGTAGTATTGTTAGCGGTGTAATAGGATGTTTTTTGTATCGTATAATTACATGGTAACTTTATAAATAGATGATCGGTGACCTTTGCTTATAAATTTACGTTTGAAAAGTAGTAGCAGCTAACAAAAGTAAGCTGATAATAAGTTGATGCCTCCAGTTCAAAGAGTTAGGCGATAGGGTAATATAAACATACGTTGTTAGCGGCTATATTTCGTAACGGACCGAAGTGGCCTTGACAAAATGACGTGCCGAAGATTGTTCTAGCGATGCGTGTGCAATGAAATCAGTGTTACAATATTCTCCATAAAGAAAATCGGAATATTCTATTAAATTGAAACTGAAATATCATTGTTCCCGTTAAATCCGACGCTGTTCGTTAATATTCACGAGGGCAACAATGAATTTCTGTTCGAATCTCTGTTGAAAGCAGCCTCGTCGCGAATATAACGTTTCATCTTTGATCATTCATTTCGCAAGAGAACCGAGAATTTCGCCACGTAAACCGAGTGGAGTGACAACAGGCGATAATTGTCGCGATTCCGCGCTGACTATGACGCCTTTCCGGAAGCACCAAATTAGTACGATGAGATAGATGGAACTATCTTCTGATATAAATATCCACAATAGCTGTTTCCCTGGCACGACGAAAGCCAGCGAGGAATCGCGAGGAAGTCAGCCTTCTAGTTTGATCAAAATTTTAAAAACGAATAATATTCTCGAAGCAAATCGAGCCGAACTTGAAGCAACGTTAACGATTAATCTCTTTCTAAATTCCATCTAATAAAATTCACCGCCAAAACACTCGAAGATTATCTCTCAAGTATTTTCGTGAAAAAAAATCAGATATACAAAATGTAGAGAACTAAGAAAATTATATACACTGCGAACGTTAAATATATTTGACGGTATGCATACGATTATCGAACAGAAGGTTTATTATTTTTCATTGAAATTTACGATTACTGTTATCGTAGTAGATTTTCGCCTGTCGACGGGAAACCACGGATCCTCCTGGGAAAAGATTGAGCGACTTTTCCGATCGACACGTTCCTTGGAAATTCGCTACAGAAAAATACGTCCAACCACTCCGCTTTCCCTCGTTATCATAACGTAAAAGCGGACCGAGCAGAGGCTATCATTAAAGTTCCATAAAGCTTGGTATGCTCGTGTAAAACTCGCGCAAAAAGAGATCGGTCTGGTTCGCACGTTCTATTACAAGCGGAGCGAATTGAGCTGTACGCCGTACGCGACAAGGAATATCGCGGCGACAAACGCGATTCTAAAACGTTTCTTACGCTCGCGTTTAATCGCCACGCACAAATGAATGATTCGCTACGGTCACTTCAGCGTTTCTGTGCTGCGCGTGATAGTTACCATCGTGTTTCTTAACAGAATACGAATGGAAAAGAACGATTCATCTTAGTGATTTAGAAATACTCCAATGATGTGTAATATGATTTTTGCAAAATAGAATCGATTCTCATAAAATTCAAATGATCCAACATTGATCAAGCATTCAATTTTCAGTGAAGTCTTGAAATATGGAATTAAACGATCAATTGTAGATCGACGGAGAGTTCAAAATTGACTCGATTCTCTTAGTTTCACATATCTCTCGCAATTATTCCGTGTAATAATTTTGACAAGTGGTCTACATAGATGATCACTATATCTATACAACGATCCGTATGATCTAAACCCGATGCAAAAGCTCCAAATTACAGTCCGCACAGCATCGCCAGAAAATCTCCTTACCCGATATCATACCTGTCAACGAAATCAACATAACTCCGCCACGAGCTAGCAATAATCCACAGTGTCACCAGGTGCACTCAAACCTCAATCTCAATTTCACCCACGTGTACCCTCTGTTCAATCTTCAATCATCGATTCTTCGAGTACAAAACCTCTGTGTACCCTAAGAGGAGTTTCACCCGAGCCACCCGGACCCGAATGTCCGAAAATACGGATCTCTGAATGAACAACTCCGAACGCCGATGAAAAGAGAGAAAAGGATAGGGGATCGCTGTGAGTTTTCAATGCGATCGACGAGAGATGAAAACGATTTCTCGTGGGACACTTGACTCTCGGTACGGCACGTTCTTACGATGAGAAGTGGGAGAGCAGCGAGGGAACGAGCCCCGAAAAGATGCGCCGACGGGACTCGACGCGAGACTGGAGCGGCAAATTGTGGACGAGCGGTTCCGAGAGAGGGCTCATCTGGAGAGAAGAGGCTCTCTTCCCTCGTCTTCGCGTCTCTCCTTCCCTCCACGCGCCCTTTCCCTCCTTTCCCTGCCCGTTTTCTCGCGGCCCGCGTCCAGCTGACGACCGAGAACACGAAGAGGAGCCGCGGGATCGTCCCCAACCCTTCTTTTTCTTCCTCGCTGTCAACACGCCGAGCGTGTGTTGGTGACACGCGCGAGGACGAGGCGACCAGACGGCTGGGCATACATCGGGCATCCTGGTCTGGAGAACTTATTTCTCATTGAGCATGCTCCGAATGATCGTTGCGTTACCTAATCCCTTAATGACTCAATTTTCGTTGTTTCGTTGCGTGAACTTCATGGAAAACTGATTTTTAGGGAGGACCTATTTTTATCTGGTTTTGTAATGGAAGCTATTTTTTATTGAGGATGCTTTGAATGATTGTTGCGTAACCCTTAATGACTCAATGTTCGTCAGCTTTTACGAAGAAATTTTTAATTCTATGTTTGCGATGGAAAGTGGAGTCTGTGTAATCTAATTTTCTATTAGGATATTCGTACGCAACTTTTGTAGAGAATAATTATGCAAAGAAGAATTATTGATTAAATCATTGTGTATTATTAGGATCACATAGAAATGAAATAGATGTACAAAGGTTACCACCAATTGTTCATCACTGCATTGTCTCCGATTTTCTTATTTCTCGTGAATAATAATGGCTCCACTAAAAGCAAAGTCAGAGTTGCATCAAAGCGTTTGAATGAAGAAAACTTTCGCGATGAGGCGCAGCCGAGCTTTATCAGACGAGGCTGAAACTTCCATTGGGAAACGCGAACGGCATTGGCCTCTGTGTTCTGGACCAATAAGCGTGTTAAGAAGCCATCACTTCCGCTCGGTGCGATTAAAAACATCTATTGTCAGCTGATGACTCTGTCAAGGAACTTCGCGATATCGTTTCTGACGCGTTGAAACAAGAAAACGAATCTCAGCTGTGAATACACAAGGAACCATTACACACATACTATTTTTACGATTTGCAATTGCAGTGAAATTTTCTTCAAAGAACTCGAATACGATCAAAACACAAACGTAAAGAAGCTTCGCTCCCTTTCGAAGTGAAACAAACGAAAAAGCAATCAAGACAACTTAAAGTCTTCGGCATTCCATCAAATAATAATCCATTCGATCGTTCAATCCCCTAATCACTTTGATCAAGTGCATATTGTATCCCTCAACAAGGGTGCATTCAACTCTCAAAATCGAGACTCACGGAGGACACACACAAAAGTCCGCAACTTGTAAAAGTCATCGTCAATGAATTGTCAAGTTTCTCTTATCCCTTTAACGATCGTCGCGTTCCTCGGACCACGTGAAATGAATGTCAATGTATCGCTCCGTTGGTGGCCAACGAAACTGTATGCGGGTGCTGACGATTACAATAACACACAGAATCTCTATTCTTAATGACAATGTTCTCCCCGGAAGATTTACATCCCACATAAAACTCTCGGAAGACATTCCGTTGAACATCCCACGGAGCCCTCCTCGTAAAAAGAACTCCCTTATCCCCCATAAAAATATACATCCCATCAGAAAAATCAACTCGAACGTACATAGATATCGTTACACGAATACTCAAGGGTTACCATCCCGACGATCGGGGCCGCGTCATCAAAGGAAGCTTAAAAGTACGCGCGAAATCCTCGGCGACGCGTTTTATTCGTTTAAATCGGTAATTTATCCACGCTCAAAAGAACTCGAGTCACCTGACTCGCAGCTGAGCGTGAAGAGCGTCGGTCCACGCGCGACGAAACGGAAGAGAAACTGCGGCAGATGAAACATAGGCTAAAGTCTCCTCTACACGCTAGGAGAAGCGACGGGTTTGAGTGTTCGACAGTTTCAACGCGCGTTGCGCTCGATCGAAAGCCGGAAAAGGCTCGAACCCATCGTTCGGCAGCGATGGCTGCACCGCTGAATGTTTCTACGCGTAGATGGCCCTTAACGGACACGCAAGAATCGCGTCGGCGCGGCGCCTTTGGCTCCTTTGTGCGCCCAGTGACCGACGAAACGCCTCGTAAACCGCGATTTTCCGATTCGCGACGACTCGACGATGAAAATCGTTCAACCGCGTCCCTAATACACGGCCACTCCGCATGGAAAATCAGTGAATGATTAACGGCGGCCATGCTCGTCCCCTTTTTTTTCCCCTGCGGCCCGCGAGGGAGCCCCGGGCCCTGTTTACTGCCACTAAAACGGGAAACGAGCGACGGAACGAGCCCGGGCGAGTTTTACCGCTCGCGACGGCTTCCATTTATTGCGGAAGCGTTAAACTAATGCCGGCACCTGTCGCGTTTTATTCTATTTCTCGGTGGCGTTCTGTCGCGCGGTTTTATGGCGTCCCCCGAAGCGAGGTTCATTGATAAAACGCCGCGAAATCCAGCGGGAAGGCTTTTCCTCTTCCTCCCTCGCCCCGTTTCACGCGGGATCTCTTTTAATACCCGTTTAGTGACTCGAGAATGAAGATTTACTGCTTATCTTCGTGGCTTCCAGCTTCTGTTTTGCCCAGCCCGCGGGGATCGTTGATAGGTTCGATCTTTGTGGATGCCTGCTGGCATACGAGACTTAGCGAGCCGTTCCGCGGATTCTGCAGGCCGAGAGATATCTTCTTTGGGAAAGCCTTGGATAACGAAAGCGAAGAATGCTGTAAAGATTACTTTCGACCTGGTGAATGACTGTTATCACTAGAAATTCACGGTTAGCTGGGAGGTAATGGGAGGATGGAGACTTTGCTCCGTTAGATGGAACTTGTGGTTGTTGTTGAATGATTATATAAAAGCTGTTACAATTCGCATAGTTCTTCGGTGAAATTCACTAGCGATTATAAAGTCTTGAAGATTACTTAACGAAGGAAACTAATTTCCAGTCGAGAAATCCAATTTCGAATGCAATTGTCCAATATAAACGCGATCAGAATTTCTACTTCAAGCGTCCACCGATATATCTTCTCTAGGTTCGCGAATGAAACGGATCACCGTTCAATTTTCCAGTTTCAAAATCGCGTACATTACGAATAATCAACGTCCGCGCAAGATTGATCATCGAAACGCGGAGAAATCTCATTCAATTCCAGTTATCCCAGGATAAATCCTAATCTTATCCGACACTTACTCGCGGTACAAGCTCCGGGAGCAGCTCGAGCGTACCGATAGACACGTTTTCGCGCGTGCACATACGCTCGGGGCTCGCGGTAGCGGATATTTACTAGGTAAATTGCCATCGGTAGTCCATAAAGGCCGCCATGCCACCCTGATCGTAATTCGTCCCGTGAAGGACGAGACCGGCTAACAAACACGATCGACAGTGATTACCAGCCGGCTGCCAACGAAGCGGCTCGGCTGCCGTCGCTACGCGCCGGTCGCGGACGGTTCCACGGACGTTGCAAATAGCCTGCAACGCGAGTGCACCTGTAATCAACACGCACGCACACGTACACACCGGCACCTTTGTACAGCGTGTTTAATAAACGACGCGACCCGGGATTCCTCGGTTCTGGTGGACCGCTGCTCCGCGACTTTCGTGTTATTGTACTACCAACGTTTGCTTCGTCGAATATGACACACTGATCTGTTTAGGACTGTCGGTTCGGTCGGCAATGCCCCAGCTTTTTGTCATTGTCCGATTTGAAGGAAAACGTGTGCTTATTCGGAAAGGAGGAATTAAGATAGAGTCGAATAATAGAGTAAAATGATAGAGAATTTAACGTTAGATGCAATGATGAGCTTATCTGTCAGTTATCTGGTAAATAAGAATTTTAACTTTACAGAGGATTATCTTTAAAAAGGCCGATTGAAAAGTGCAGAAGTTTCAGATCGACGGAAATACTTAAAAATCCGAAATGCTGGAACTAATAAACATTCGTTGATTTATCTCCAAGTATTGCGTAATGTATCCACGTTTCCGATCGGCTGAAAAATTGCCCGGCAAGGAACGAGGACTAATAAATTGCGCATCAGCCTTATCGAGGCTAAAATATCACGGTAAACCGTGGCTCGCGAACGGCGTACCTGTTTCTTGCGCTTAACCTAGACCTCTTCCCCGGCTTCTCCCGTAGTTTTGTAATAATCTTGCTAGACGACGAGGACTGGTCCCGGATGAAAAATGAACGGAACGGATCGGCGTGCTGTTCTTTTCCGTGGTGAACGGAGAGGAGCATCGTTAAAAGGTGTCCCGTCGACGGTGTGAACCGTAATTGCCACGAGACGACTAACATTTGTAATTATTCCCCCGAAAATGGACAAATTTACACGAATATGTATGAATGAAGATTTTAATGACAATCACTTGTCGAGATTAATTAGTAATGCGACAGTGGGGTACGCAAAGGAACGGCTTCTGTTCGAATTCCGGATGTACGGTCTCGGTGCGTGTATCTCGCGCCGGCCCTGACCGACGACCGATCGAGATAGCGCCGATGAAAAATCGATTCCGGTTAAGAGCTCGCGAATCAGCGATTATTAGTAGCCGCGATTAGTAACATAGATGCAAGGCAATTTAGAAAATAGCAGAGCCATGGAGTTTTCCAGGATCGAGGCAATCAATATTGCGACACGTGGATATTTATCACTTCCCTGGATCTGCTTATTATCTACGGAAAGGTTAATGTGATCGATAGTCCGAGTAACTTTGTGCTAGATTATAAACTTTTAGAGGAATCTTGCATAAAGCGGCCTGACGGATAGAGTTGATTTCTTCCTGATGAATTTTATTGGGTGAGTAATCGATTAAGGAACTATTTCTTCTGAAGAGACACGAACACTGGTTTAATCGGTCCTCTACGGCTCAATTATTTAATCATCCGAATCGTAAAAGTAAATTACCACTTGTTAGTTTCATTGCATGTACTTTATTCTAGACTAATGAGTTAGAAGTGGGGTATATATATTTATTTGGTTCTTAAGATATTGTAATTGCCTGTAAGTCGCGGAGGAACTTGATTCTTTGATCCTCCTTGTATTACTTCTGCTTTATATATCCTTTTTAGTATTTTAATTGATATCTCAGTTATAGTAATCAGATACTTCGTTCAAGACATAAAGGGGATCAACTTGATTCAAAGACACGAACTTCATCAACAAAGTGGGCCATTAAACGACAAACGAACATCTTATACTTTCTTCGACTTTGAACTCTTGGTCTTGGCACTTTTTTTACTGCCTCGTACACTTCCGGGATTCGTACCAGCGATGTAAGCCTTTCTTGCTTCGTACACTTCTTCCACCATAGCTTTCCTCTCCCGGAACAGTTCTTCGTGTTCTTTCAGAAGCATTCGATATCTTTCCCTTCTGTTTTTCATCAGGCCGTTCATTTCCTCGATGAAATAATCATAGTCCTCCTGAGCGTAGATAATGTTCACCGCGCGGCGGCATCTCAGTATCTCTTCATCGTACGGTGTCTTCACCCACGGTGTGTCTTCTTCATCTTCCCTGTTCTCGTAGATCGTCAGGTCCAGTGTAGGAAGTCTTCGAAACAAGAGCGGAGGCTCCAACGTTCTGATCTCGGAAATCGCTGGAGTCTCCACGCAACATTCCAGTGTAACGGAGGATTTCCTTCCGGGCACTGAAGCTTCACTTTTGGTGTCCGTTTCAGAGGGTTTTGGCGTGAATTCGTATTTCTGTCGGAAATTCTCTTGGAGGAGTTTACCACGTGATAAACTCTCGGGGTCGTTTTTCGCCCAGGTCTCCTTCATCTTTGCGATTTGCTGCTCGCTCAATTTGTCTTCGGCTATCTGGTAAATTAGGTGACTAGAAACTGAATCTTAAGTCTATCAAAGAATGAGACGTACAATAAATAATGAAAAGAATAAATATTTTAAAGTTAAAATATTGCGTCCATAGATGCAGTGCAATCCTAATACTTAGCATTAAGAGTTAGCGACAAAGAACTTATTGAATGATTTGATATACGGCTAAAATGCACCTCAAAGCCGCTTCCAACATCGGTGACCACTTGGAGCACACAATAAGGCTTCTCAAGAACTTGATTACTGTCGGTCAGCGCTTTGGCAGCTCTCTTAATCTTCGACACTTCAGCCTTCGAAAATTTGCCGATAGTTAACGTAGACGACTTCGGTCGAACGGCGGAACCAACAGGCCTCATCTTAACCTCCGTCACCGCGATCCATTCTGATTTAGTGAGCGGCCAGCTGTCGTCAAGAACAAAAGCCTCCACGTGATAGGTTCGATGACACAGCGTCTCCTCGCTGGCTTTGCTTCCATTGACATCGGTCTTCACAGTGGAATCTTCCACAGTATCGTTACCAGCTTCATTCATGGCTTTGCCATTGGTGTCATTCCTAATAGGACGACCACCTTCACTTTTGGCATCAATCATCAATTGTATCTCGCTAGATTCTGCTTCCAAGCCCAAGAACACGAGAGGCACAATGACTACCGAGCCTCCTGTCATTTCGAGCAACACAGTACCCTCAGTATCCGTCACTCTGAACTTGATTTTCACTTTATCGTACGACGTACTTAGTCTAAAGGACACTAAAGTAGGTTTGCTGATTTTAGCGATCCACTTCGAAATGTACTTCCTACTATTCGGTATGTAAGCGTTAGACAGTTCTTCGATGACCAAAAAAGGAGTTGCCAGAGTGGTAGATTGAGAAATCGTCTCGTCCATTGAATAGAACACTGGCTGCCCTTTTTTGGTGATCATGAACATGGTCCAGGTCACTTCTTTTATCAGCTGGTCATCGCTCCAGCCATAGGCGAATACCGTGTAACCTGATTTCGTGTGTTCATAGCGAGTCGGGACCACGTTGTTCACCACTCGTAACATCTCCTGTTTGGTCTCATTGTTAAAAACACGTACACAGTATCTTGGTAGATTGACGAACAAGTCAATGTTTGCGAAAGCAGTCTCCATAGTTTTAGTATTCACCAGGAACCTAGCTATCGGTACCCATTGTCCTGGCTTGACCACTCCTAACGTCCCTGTCAATTTTTGCACTTGAATCGTGTGTTCGAAGTCCTTCGAGCAGGGATATATGTCTCGAAGTCTATCAAAGTGCTTCAGAATGTATCTGAACAAATGAGTGGCCAAAGATTCTCGCTTATTGTAGTTGAACAATTCCACTACTTTCAGTAGATTCTCCAGAACCGCCCGATGTTCCCTGTGTTTAGGATTGTGGATCATTTTGTACCGTATAATCAGCAATGTCTTGAACAAGGATTGAATAACAGACGCAGCGTAGTCCTTGTTCAATACATTAGCTTCCGTGGGGGATTGATCAATTAGCTTCTGCCTTTCTATAGAGGTTCTAGGTGTGTTAGAGTTCCTGATAGCTTTCAGAGCCCGAGTGAACGGATTGAAGTACTCCAGGCCTATCATAGGATTCAGGAAGAATATTCTCAGTGATCTCAGGATCCCTTGCATTTGATCCGCAGGAACAAGTCCCTGGATCAGCCGCACTTTTTCGTTAAGGAAACACGCATGTATGTAACTATAGAAGATTTTGGCTCTCGAGTTGTACGCAGGCGGCAAGTAGCTGTTGTAATAAAGCTTCAACGCTTCCGGGTACTTATCGGTGCCGAACGATTGATAAGCGTTGCTCGCGCAGTTGCTGATGTGCCTCACCTTCAGATCGATCGCGTCGGACTCCGTGCACATCAGCTCGTACATTTTCCTGCGGTCACCTAAATGGAAGATCGTGTCCGAGGAGATTGTCACGAAGCAATTAGCTTCCGAGCCGCAATACATTCGCAACAAGTGTCTCCCTGATTCTAGCTCTAGCACCGTTGACCTTGTTCCAGTTGTTAGAAGATGGACCAAATCATTACCGTATTTTTGTCTGTGGAACCAGCTGTGTCTTTCTATGATCAAGTAGTCCTTAATCGCTACCAAACGAGTAAATCTCGATACTGTTTGTAAATCATTCGATTGGTTTGCTAAGTCATCAGTTGATTTATTAGCGTCCTCTTCCGAAACTGAACTTGACGCTTGAGGATCGGCGGAAACTTGGAACGTGGAGAAATTGATTAAGAAAAATTTTTCTTCCAAGGAATCAACGAATAGGTACAAGGGTTCATTTCTGCTCTTCAACATTTTCTGGGGCCAGCAGTGGATGTCGATGAATTTAGCTTCTCTCGATGTAATCCTCACGGGGGAATGTTCTCTGCTACCCTTTTTGCTACTCTTCTTCGAATCGATTTTCTTGTCGCGAGAATCTTTAACCGTGAAGCGATCCGACACTCTTGCAGTGTACTGAAAGTAGTCTAGTTTATAAAAAAAGTGGACGTCCTTTACGTAGGGTCCCATTTTATTGAAGTCTGCCCAGAATGTAATGTCAAATGGAGGAGCTTTCTCAGGTGTCTTTTTGACAGATGGTTTTGGCGTCTGGCTTTTGGATTCCTTGGATCTATCACGGGATTTCGTCTTTTCTGTCCTTTTCGGAGTGGATTTAGGGTCAGAAACATCTTTCTCATCAGCTTTCTCAACGATTTCATCAGTGTGTTTATTGATTATGGTTTCACCGAAACTTTTCAGGGGACTAACAATTTTCAGGAAACGAATCGGAGCAAAGTAGTCAGCAGGATTGATCATGCCTTTCTCCGAGGCCCATTTTACCCAACGGAAATGCTTCCATCTTGCCAATGGAGGTTTCACCTATGACATGTTTCCTATTTTTAGTCGACCTGAATATGGAAATGTAGAAAATAATCTTAATAAATTATACGATGTACATCTTCAGGGTCCAAAGGGATGTCACGAATCTGCGCGATGAAAATTAAATGGTTCTCACAGGGAGACAGACCAGGAACAGTCTCAGAAGAAAGTGTCTTCATGTCTTCCAACCCAAGAAACAGAGTCACTGGTTCAGGCTTTTTTAATATAACTGGTTTCTTCCTTTGATCGCCCTTGGATTTTTTTGATCGTTCAGTGTCCTTCGATTTTTTCGATTCAACTGTATCCTTCGATGTTTTTGATCCCTCCGTACCCTTGGACTTCTTTGATGGTGACGTTTCTTTCGACTTCAGCTCGTCGTTGTCCTTCTTGGACTCCAAAGTTTCTGTTTGCAAAGGGCCGTGACTATAAACAAAGTGTAGAAAAGCTAAATACACGTGACGCGAGACCTATGTACCATGTTTCATCGTTTTAGCTTCCCATTCGAAATGGTCCGTGTATTTCCTTAGTAAATCCCATTTGTCCTGAGGGGATAGATAGCCAATTTCTAATCGCAGACAAACCCATCCTAAATTATGCGAAAGAAAGGAAAATATTATCTTCATTTGATTTTTATTAGTCTTCTAAATGAACAGATTTCTCCAATTCTTTTAGATGTCACTGATTATCGTTATTTGTTTCTAATTTTACCTGTTAAACAACTAACTGGATGGAAATCCACAATTTCACGGTTTCTGAACCACGTCACAGAACACAATTTCAATAAAGCCTTTGAAAGAAGCATGGGCCACAATTCATGACCATTTGCAGTACGGGGTAAGAGTGGTAAACCATTGGGGTTCACTGGTATCGTGTCATCTACCACGATGTAACGCCATGATCCCAAAAAGTATAATCGTACGACGTATTTTCCTATAATAAACATAAATATATCAAATCTTAGCAACAGTGGCATTAATAGTAAATAAATAGAAGATTGATAAGTTTTTAATTTTAGAACATGAATAAGAAATCTATTCTCAAAAAATAGAAGTTAAAAATAAATAATATAGTGCAAAGCAGTTTCATATAATTATTTAATAGGGAGAAAGAGAGAGAGCGATGCATACCATTTGGATTTACGATAGGACGATGCTGCACTCCTTTACCAGCTTTATTTAATGAATACACATGCATCCAACCACACCACGATTGGTGCCGCCCATTCCAAATGAAATTGCTGTTCTCGCCACTTATTTCCAATCCATCTCGGCCGCAATACTGGAGGTTTATTAGCGCGGAAATAACCCAACGTGCAAACTGAAAATTGTTTTTAATCGAACCATCAGTCAATTGGACACGTGCCTATTTTAATCGTCGTATTTAAAACGATTGTCTCGTATCAATTATACTCTGCGTAAATTTAAGTTTCGAATAATGAAGAGTAAAGATAAAAATATTTAACAATTAATTATGAACTTACTTCACTATGCAATATGTGCTGATTATTTGTGATTAGATCTGGATACTCTGAAGTGGCAACAAACACTGTCACCTGTTCCTAGATTCATTTTTAATGTAATTTACATCTGTCCCAGGCACTAATCGGACAGTTTTTTAAAATACATAATAAAATGGCAAATTAAATGACAGATGATCTCAAAAATAAGCCTACAGTTAGGCTTCTTAAATTCTTTGCCCTTATCCATTCAGAGGGCTGCAAGGAGGGTGGTAATCCGACGAGTTGCGTGTCCATAAATAACCCATCCGTACCATCTATAATCAATACTGCAAATGTAGCTTCAACTAAATTTAGTTAGTCGCTTATTACTTTTAGGATTGGCCCAGTTCTCTTTATTTAACGCTGTGTCAGACCATTCCGGCCATAATATAGAATCTTCCGCGTAAGACGAGCCGAATACAGATTCAGTTACTTTTTTAGACTTCACGGACATGTCTAAAAATCTCTTTCAATGACAAAAGTTGACAGTCGCTTCTTCCGACGTCGGAATAGATATTTTAAAAGCTATTTTTCTTTGTTAATTTATTTTCTTCGTTGAATCAACGCGACAATAAGGATAAAAAATTCTGGAAAAAGTATATATTTATTGAATCTCTGTATTATACATAACTATACGAAGATGAAATGCGAGTTTACGTCGGAAACAGACTTTATAAAAAATTGCAATTCAAAGAAAACTCTATTTCGTTAGTAGTTACACTACAATGGCGACGTCGCACTTATTATGTATATAATAATATAATCCAGTACAAATGTAACTTCTACAAAAAATAATTATTCTCGATCTCTCATTATATTAACTCAATAATGAATGAATCAATATCAATTCTATCAACGATCACGATTACGAATGAGCTTGTACATTTACACCATTGGAACGAAGTTTAATTCGCAAGTTCACAATTAGATATCTTCCACAACAACAAGAAAAATAATGCTACATTCAGGAATTATAATTAGTCCACGTTCACCGTAAACTATTCATATATTTCTTCAACAATATTTAAGATATAGTTTTATAGT